CCTTCTCACAGAAACCACAACAGANACAGTAGAGACTCACTTGGAAAGGCGCTTTTCACATGCAAACAAACCAATCCAGAGCCCACAACTTCCTCTAGGTTGAATGGATCTGGTCCTCTGCCCTAATCACGCTAAGGCCAGCTGCCAGACAACTCAAGACAGCTGCTATACCCCAGAGCCCACTGAAATTATCCAAACTAGCCAAGCCTAAGCCTGGTTACCCCACCTCACCTGTTCCTTCTCACAGAAACCACAACAGAAGGTCTTGCCACAGTTCCCCAGGTTCCTTCTGCCTCCTGACTCAACCTGGTGCTCCAGGCTGTGTGGCTCTGCATGGCACAGTGTGCCCCCACTCTCGGCAACTGTGAGTCATCAAGCATCTTTTCAATGGCTGTTGTCTTCTGATCTGTTGACCTCACCATACTTGAATAATAGTAAAACCTGCATTTTAGAACAGCCTCATAGGCCCTCTCTTGTTAGACAAAATCCTCTAGACCCTGTCTAGAGCTTTGAAAATCAGTAGCTGCTGAGTTTTCCTGGGCCACAGTAGTGCTGGCTTCCACCCGGGCTGCTCTCCTGGAGCCAGCAGTTGGACCAGCAAATCATGTCCTTGTTTGCAAAGGATCCTCCCTGCCCTCTCACCTGGAGGGGAAAAACCAGGCTCTTCCTTTGTCCGTAGGCGATGAAGTTACCTGGGTTGAAGAGCGAGCGAGCTCAGCAAACTTGGGCCCAAAGCAGTTTCTGCTGCATAGAAATGGAAAGTCATGGCGGTTCTGGCTATGCAGCATAGCTCTTAATGCACCTTAATTATGGCCCTAGCAGATTAAATGATGACTCATTTCAGTGAATTGAGCCGCCTTCACCTGTTCTCAGCTTTGTGACATGTGGTGTGTCTGAGCCGAGTCACAGGAAGCTGGGATATTAAACTGATGCAGCTCACTGAGCAGTTTTCCCAGCCACAGGCCTGCACCGTAAGGGCGGAGGGGAGGCAGGAGCCCACCGCCTCAAAGCCTGGCTTTTAGTTACAGTTCTGCTTTATCCAGTCAAAACTCAGGAGAGACAGACCAAAAATCAAAACACAAGAAAAATACATTCTTTCTCTTCCTCCTTCCTTTGTGTTTCCTACTTTGTCTCTAGGCTCTGCTTTTTAGCAGTGTGGCTAAGAGTTCTGGGCTAAGCAACATAGTAGGGAACGTAGGTTCCTATTTGGAGTAACTTAGGAAGAGCAGGACCCCAAGCACGTCAGTGACAACATGAGGGTCTAGGAAACCTCTACTGTTTCCTTAGCACCTTTTAGAGAAAGTGGAATGAGGATCAGTGTCACAATCTGCAGCTTTCTAACCAGAACTTCCCACTGGGGGGCACCCTGACAAGCTATAGAAGGCACTGGNGCAGCTTTCTAACCAGAACTTCCCACTGGGGGGCACCCTGACAAGCTATAGAAGGCACTGGCCCATGCTCTTGCTCCAAGAGGAAAAAGCAAAGAGGGCCAGAGTGAGAACAAATAAATACCACCTGATTTTTACTGCAGGCCACACTGGGCAGTGCTTTCAGTCTAGCAAGTGTTAAAAAAAAATCCTTTCAAGGCCATCTCAATTTAGGATTTTCACACAGGACTATCCTTTCTACTGAGATTTCCTATTTTAATTCATTTCTTTCTTCTCTGCAAAAGAAAATATATCATTTGTTTTCCCTTCAGTTGCAACATTATTTTCTCTGGGAATACTGTTGTGCAAATGGAGCGTTAAAATGAATCGTTAATAAAAGGAGCTGGATCACATGGGGAAATGAACCAACACAGGACAGCGTCAAAGTCTTGGGAATGACTTTTCCACTGCAGGCTGTCCTCCCCTGCCTAATGAGCCAGGTGTTGATTGTCTTCTTCCTGGATTTCCTGTGGCCAATGCTTAATGGCAATTTGACTTCTCTATAACACCTGACACATGCCCCACCAATTGCTGGCAACAGCCTGTTATTTTGATCCAATGTTAAACTAAGAAATAAAACTGGAAAGTCAGTCTGCTCAATAAAGTCGTACAACAGATGCATCCCCCAAACAAACAGGAGTGGTTCTTGGATTATCTGACCACTGCTTGGTACACCTGAGATGGGGTGCTAATTCCTTATCTCCACATTCCTAGTTTAGACCTTGCATATGGAACAAACAGGAAAAAAAGACCTGTGGCTTAGTATTACGTGAGAATT